TAATAATAATAATAATAATAATAATAATAATAATAATAATAATAATAATAATAATAACAATAATATAGAAAAAAAAGAGAAAAAAGGTGGGTGTGGGGGTGTGGTGGAGGAAGTGGGGGTTGAGGTGTGGTGGAGGGGAGTCTGGTGAAGGAGATGGAAGTGGGGGTGTGGTTTAGGAGGTAGGGTGTGGTGGAGGAGGTGTTCTGGGGTGAGGGTGTGGTGGTGGAGGAAGTGGGTGTGGGGGTGTGGTGGAGGAGGTGGGGTGGGGTGGTGTGTGTGAGGGTGGGTGTGTTGGAGGTGGGGTGTGATGGAGGAGGTTGGGTGAGGTTGTGGTGGAGGAGGGATGGGGTGTGGTGGAGGAGGTTGGGGTGGAGGTGTGGTGGAGGAGGTTGGTGGTGGAGGTGTGGTGGAGGAGTTTGGGGTGGGGGTGTGGTGGAAAAGGTGGAGGAGGTAGGGGGGTGGGTGTGTGGTGTAGAAGGTGGAGGAGGTAGGGGTGGGTGTGTGGTGGAGAAGGTGGAGGAGGTAGGGGTGGGTGTGTGGTGGAGGAGGTAGAGGAGATGGGGTCTGTTCGCTGAGGGGAAGCTCCAGAAAAGCCAGGGTGTCATACAGAGACCCAATCTGTTTTGCAGTTTATACACCTCTCGTGAATGGTTCCCCCTTGAGTACTTTTATATCTGCAAACCTGTGTTCCATGTTGTCGTGAGCAGAGACCACACCACTGCTTGGTGGAGGGGCATACTCGGTCCACCTGACCCAGTGTTGACACTTGAAACATCTTCGGGTAGGAGGCTGATAGAGAGTTACCTTCAGATTCTGATAGGCACTACGGACGCAAAGAGTATTGGGTGGATCCCCCGAGCTAATCCAGTCTGTAATGACTGCTTTTTTGCCCGTGAGTTGCTTCGTCCTTCTAATGTCAGGATTAATTTCTAGTATTGCAGGGGTTCTGGTACTGGTCGAGGCCTATGATTAAGATGGTTTTCTTGTTCGATGGTATTTCCCTCTATGTTATTGGTGAGGAGATAGTAAGGTGAAGTGTGTGTGTGTGTGTGTGTGTGTGTGTGTGTGTGTGTGCACAGGGTGGTGTAATGCATCTAGTGCGGCAGCAATTTGTTAGTGTTAAGGTACAAGCACTGCTTGTTTCCTCTCCCTTTCAGCTACCGCCGCTGACGAGCTCTCGTGGCGAACAGGGGAAGCAACTTGTGTAAGTCTTCCCCTGCCAGTACACAGCCTCTGTACCATCAAGATTCCTGCTGTGCCTCCTCGTGGCATCACACAGGAACTGGGTGCTTCGTGTGCCCAGGCTAAACCAGCAGGGGATCTTGGAGCAGCAGTGGGCCTCAGAGGGACGGCGCATAGGCTCACTGGCATGTGGACAACTGAACACGTTTTGGCGCCTACCAACCACTCTACCCTGCTGCTTTACGGATTAACATGTATGGCAAACGGCTGTGCATCTTCCCGCAGGTGTATCCTCATAGGTGGACCCGCCATAGCCTTCAGTGGCGCTGTCCGTAGGGCCTCCTTCGTCACCAGCACATCCGAGTACTCCTTCAGGAAGTAGGCCCTTGCGGCTGAAGGAGACGTCTCGCTGTGAAGAGGAAGCAGCCGTGACTTGGGTGGAGGCGGGGCGGGAGTGGACGCGGGTTCTGGGCAGCTCTGCGCGGCAGCACCAGGTGCGTCGCTCGTTGATTCACGCACCCTGCTGGTGGTGTACCGAGCAGCTGGGATCTGCTCAGGAAAGTCTCTGGGCACCACGCCTAACTCCTTGCAGTGCTCCCACGACAGCAAGGGTGTAGCGAGAGTGGGCTGCACGTCCATCCATCCGTGACGCGTCCTGTCGCCGTAAGTGATCTCCGCTTGAAAGGAGCCCACAGCGTCCGGCATCTGGGAACCGTCCGCATTGTAGTACTGCAGCTGCGGCGGTGGTCCCAGGCCGCGTTTGGTGAGGCCCAGTTTCTGGGGGTGCTTCAAGCCTATCACCGTAGTATCAGCGCCGGTGTCTGGTATCACCTCGATGTGACCCGACACATCACCGTGTGTGACGGCGACACGGATGGTATGGGAAGGGGTAGCCCTGGGGCGTGTGGTCGATTCCACCCTCCTGATGTGACTCCGCTGCTGCTTGGGGCTGCGTGGGCCATCTGAAGGGGGCTGCGTGCGAACCACCCCGAGGGAAGTGCGCTGCTTTCCTCCTCGTCTCGGGCTTATGGGCTTGGTTTGGCGGCAGCACTTGTCGTAGTGTCCATAGCGACCGCAGGCCTGACACTTGTGGCCTCGTGCAGGGCACCTGTCTGTGTTAGACCTGTGGCCCTTACGGTCACATCCACGACACAGTGCGT